AATGTGGGCAAAGTGCGTTTCTGGGGTTTTTAGAATGGGAAAACTAACCAAAATCAAATATCTCATAATGGTAACTACCAACTTAGGTCAGTTAGTAAATAGGAGGACAGGAATTAGAGTGTGCATTTTCTGGCTCAAATGCTGTTTAACAAGGAAGTGAAAATCTCAGGGCCGTAGATGAGGCTCTCTACGTCTTTCTGGAGGTTGCATGTGGATGCATCCAACACTGTGGTCCAAATGGCAAAGTTGAGTGAAGACAGCAGCATGCTCCCCACTCCATGTTTCTTAATTTAGTTGGCGGAGAATCGTAGACCTCTGGAAATTTCCCTGACAGAATTCACTTTTCTGTCAGAACACTAAGCCCGCCCTTGTCTACATTTGTCTGAGCATTGTCTGTCTGTGGGCTAGTCATTATGTATTCAGTGTCAACAGCCCTCCTTGGAGGGCAGGAGAAACAAAGCAGAGATGGGTCTGCATTCTGGGAAATAAAAGCACGCCTCCTGGATCACAGGCTTTGAATTCTCTGCAACTTTTGACCCAGTATCAAACCACATCATTACTCCCCTAATCTCAGCAGCAGTTTATATTGTCACAAAAAAGAGGACCTGTCTGCCACTGCATCATTTTCTCTTAACAGGGAGAAAACAAACAAACCAGTTGGTAGCACTTCCTGGATACCAGTGGGTACTGGGAGCCAGAGCCTTCTCCATGAATTTGCATTCAGTACATTGCTGTTTTTAAGTGGAGCTGCCCCTGGTATAAATAAGTCTTATAATGTATGTAAATATATGGGAGGGTGATTGTTGTAATGAAAAGCTTCCACTACAAAGTGGGCAAAGCCAGTAAAATCAGTGAGTAGGGGGAGGGGTTTGTTTTCAACTGCATTTATTGTCGAGCAACTACCCTAAAGAGACCCCTGCCACATTTAGTACTGTAGATACGCAAAAGACATGTCACACAGCCCTCCTGCCCCTATAAGGACCTAAAATGCTTCTGGATATCAAATGTGTGAAACAGCTAGGAAGTACAATGGAGTGCTGAGTAGGTCCGCTACATAGGAATACCAGGGCAAGCCAGGACCTTGAGGCATTTAGCCCAGCATCCCAGTGTTGGAGAAATGAGGTGACCTTGTCAGACCCCCACAGTTGTTGACAAAAAGCCAGGGTTAGAACCCCAGGCTCTGGCTCTTAGGGTGAGACTCTTCCCAACGTGCCATGTGTCCCACTTGTCCCTTAAATGTTGGTGTCTCCTACTGCCTGTTCTCACTTGGCTCACACTCCCTGGATGGTCTTCTTATGCTTACCAGTAGTTTTAATTGTCTCATGCCTTTCCAGAAGTCCAGACGTGTGTCTCCATCTGTTTTCCAGATACCTCCTATCAGTATCTCTCAGTAACCTCAGCATTTCCAAAACAAACTCACCTTGATTTCCTAGCACCACTGAGTACCCACCCAGACAACTTTCTCATGTTTCTTGTTGCTGAATGTCATTCCATCTGTGAAATGTTCAAGTCACAAACCTGCCATGTCTGATTCCTCCTTCCTCTCTCCCTCCTCCAGGCATTCCCTGGCTGTGCCTCTCCCCTCCTCATCTCTAGGACCTGGACTGGAGCCAGCTCACCACTTTCTGTTGCTGCATTGCCCTGATGGCCTCCTGGCCTCTCTTTTGTCCCCTCCAGTCTGCTCCCCTACAGCACAGCCAAAGTGATGTTTCTAGAAAACAAGCCTCAAGTCTCGGAATATCTTGCCATTTCCATGGCTTCCCATTTTCTACCTTTCCTTTTGTTTCCTCCATCTGGAACCCTCATCCCCCCATCATTTCTCTTTGCCAGGTCAATTCTTGACTCCCTCAGATTTCTGCTGAAGTCTCACTTCCCATACACAGACTTGGAGCCCTCCACACGGCATCCCTGCCCCCACGCTGTGTAGGACGTGTGACGCTGTGCTGTCATTGTTGAATGCTTGTCTGTTTCGGGTCTGTACACTCAACCAAAGCGAAGCTGCCTTGTCCCCAGTGTATCTCTGGGGACTTTCTTAATATCCAGCAAAGGCCGTGGGTTGGGGTAACAAGAAGAGAGTGGAAAATGACAAGTGTCTGGAAAGGTGAGCAGTCAACAGGTGGTGGTTTGTACTTGGATACTGTCTCAGCCAGTGAATCCAATCAACCACCTTGAACTATCAGGAATTGAGTGATCAGACATATTCTGATATGGATGCTTAATACATTTTTTTACTTTTTTTTCTCTACATTGTTTTACTTTAATTTTGACTATATATTTGGTGGAGGGGGATGCTATTTTATCTAAAGGCAATACAGTCGAATGATTGAGACCGTGGACTCCAGTACTAAATTCCCTGGGGTTCAAATCTAGCTTCATTATGTATTGTGTGTTACTTAAACTTCCTGTGCCTCGGCTTCCTCATCTATAAAATGGCAGTGGTACTAGCATTGTCAGGAAGATTAATGTATGTGCAGTGTCTAGAATGGGCTTGGCACCTGGTAAATGCTCTATGAGTGTTAGCAACCAAGGTGGCTCCTCCTTTTCTTCTTCCTCCTCCTCATCATTTCACTCTAGGAGCAGGTAGTTAACTTGGTAATTTGCAGTTTTTGACTTGGGAGTCCAGAACAAAGCCATCCTTTGTGAATGACCTCCTAGAAATGATCTCCTTTTATGACATTGTGAGAATCAGGCTCTTTTTTTTTTAAACTCTTTTTTGTTTAAACTGAGCCCTGGGCTGCCATCCCCATCCTGATTTATAAAGGGCCAGGTTGAGTTTTTTACCTGCTGTGTAACCTGGACAAATTGTTTATCCTCTCTCATCTTCTGTCTCCCCATTGTAAGATAGGAGTTATAAAATGCCAAGATGTTGCAGGGATGAGAAAGTATCTATGTGCAATGCCTGGTGTGTAGTGGGCATTCATAAATGGCACTCAGCATTATTTCACCTGCTTGGGACTTTGCCATGCCCTAGTCGTATGGCATGTCCTCAGCTCCGGCCTTGGCATGGTTGATTGGGAGGGGGAAGAGAAGTTAAGGAATGTTACATATGGACTAGCCAATCTTGTTCATGAGAAGAAGGAAACATTTATTTTCTGAGAAAACGTTGATGGTTGACTTGCAAATGCTGATTTGGTGAACACTATAAATAATGCCTTGATTCTTACATGTAGAAAAAGTCACCGGCCCCACCAGCAACATTCACTTTTGATTTTATTCAAGTACAAGGTTAAGTGGTTTGATCCATTAGCCAGTGTGTGTAGTAGGTCAGATGCCTGCAGAAAAAAAAATTATTAGCCACAAAATGCCACAAGCAAGCTACAAAATAAAAATTAATAATGCTTAATTAAAAGTCTACACAGTGTGACTCTAGTAACTTCATTACTTGCTGAATTTAGTGTTCATACATATTTCCTGATATTGTAAAGGTGGTTAGTAGGTTAGAGTCTCTTACTCCTGTAAGAGAGTAAGAGAATTTGCCAGGATTGCCAGTGGTAAATTGAAAGTGTAGTTATAACCAAATAACCTCAAAAGCCAAATTGTAAATATCTTTCAATTTTTTTTTCAGCAAAAAATATTTAAACTGGGATACAGATGCATGTTCATACATACATTACAATGTGGGATAGGATCTGGAGAAGTCCCAGAAGTTGGGGCACTGGAAGGCCTGAGAAAGGCCTTGTCATGAGGGGTGGAGCTAGGACTGCAGGATGGTTCCTCTCACTGGCCCACTGTGTCTGCAGTGGCATTTTCCTCCCTGGGTGCCCCTGTGCATGGTTTCCATGATGGCCCTGGTGGGACAATCCCAGCTGGATCACTTCACTGCAGAAGCAGCTGAAGTCGCAAAGCCGGCCTCTAGAGGGAGGAAGCTTAGGCACTGTTTCTCTTTAATTACTGTCCTTTTGAGTAAAAATGCAGATTATTAGCAGAGCAAGTTGCGTTTGGGAAGAAATGTATGATTTGGCCCAGCCCCTGAGGATTACCCTTTGTGCAGTTCTCACTTTACATTTTAAAGAGCCAAAATGTCTCCGGTGGTCCACTTTTGCAGAACATGCAGCCTATGCCGGTCTGGAGGAATGCTAATTAACAAACCCCTACAGAACTGGTTGGGTCTCCCCTGAGGGAGGGCTTATTGCTGCAGATCTTTCTAATAGCATCCGCTCAGGGAAATGGCCAGTTGACAATGGCCAGCTCACAGAAATCTATGTGAGACTTAGCAGCCGCAGGATATTTCTGTTTTTGGTTACATAAAGAAACCTTTCTTATTATATTCACAGAAATCAAATTTCAAGTGGTTGAAAAATCTGTTTGGAATTCTGTGGTCATGGAGTTGTATTTAGTTTGATTTAATGTGGATAGATGAGAGTAAATTGTTTGCACAGATGAGTTGAATAAATTCTGCCAGTTTATATCTTATTCTGATTTCACATTAAGCCCTTAATTTGCAGCTCTGTTGCGTTGGCAGTCCTATTAGAGTAAGCCCTAGGAAAAGCTTGGCAGGTCCTTTCTCCTCTTGCCACTGTTATTCAGTGGAATTAAACAAATCATTTAACCTCTGAGGAGAGCTCAAAGGTGCTGTTGGGTCCTAGGATGTCCTTAAACCATCTAAGATGTCTGGAGATCTACCCTGATTTTAATGGCTTTAATTTAACCACTATTGAATTATTTTATTTAATCTGCTTTCCCTGTCTCCCTTCCTCACCTTCACAGATCCTCAAAGCCCTGGGATTTTCCAGACTATTTCCTTCCCATAGATACGCAATAAAAATGTAAGATGAAGAGAAATGCAAATCCTTCTTTGGAAAAAGTCATTCCCATGCTTTTGTCCCTTTCCGTCTCCACTATCTGCAGAAGTTCTGAGATGCAGGTCCTGAAGATGGGAATTCTCTCTCATTGCATCTTCGGTGCCCACTGGCATCATAAGACTCAGTGTTTATTGAACTGATGAATGAAAGTGTGTTTGAAGAACCAGTCAACTCATTTGGTGTTTTTTTTCCCTCTAGGAGGACTGGAATGAAATTGACCCAATTAAAATGAAAGATCTTCATCACAGCAACGGGGATGAGAAAGCACAAAGCGTGGAGACCCTCCCTCCAGGTACTGCAGCCCCCTACAGAGGCCAGTCCAGTCTTGGGCTGGTGGCTGGTAATCGGAAAGTCATCTTGCCCTCTAATTGTAAATAAGCTGAATGTGGCATTTGGAGCACATGGCCTGTGGGGTAGAAAATGGATTTCATAGGGCAGCTGGAGACCCTGCCCTTGCACAATGTTTTGCTGACTTCCTTAGGGGCCCATTAGTACATGATGAAGTAAGTTCACTGGGAGGTGACTAAAATTTGTTGAGAGAAAAAATAGAATAAAATAGAAAAGTCAGAATGGTATGTTTCAGTTCACAGATTTTTGTAATGGATTTTATTTTTTCAAGCAGTTTTAGGTTCACAGCAAAATTGAGCAGAAAGTACAAAGATTTACATTTATCCTCTGCCCCCACACATACACAGCCTCCCCTGCTGTCAACATCCTCCACCAGAGTGGTGCATTTGTTACAATCAGTGAACCAATATTGATATACCGTTATGATCCAAAGTCCATTTTACATTCGGATTCACTCTTGGTGTTGTACATTCTGTGGGTTTTGGCAAACATATAGTGACATGAATCCACCATTACAGTATCATACAGAGTAGTTTCACTGGTCTAAGAATCCTGGCTCCCCCTAATCCCTGGAACCACTGATCCTTTTGCTGTCTCCGTGGTTTTGCCTTTTTCAGAATGTCATATCATTGGAATCATATGGCATGCAGCCTTTCAGATTGGCTTCTTTCACTTAATAATGTGCATTGAAGTTTCCTTCATATCTTTTTCATGCCTTGAGAGCATGTTTGTGGGGTTTATTTATTTATTTATTTATTTTTTTGGTGAGGAAGATTTGCCCTGAACTAATGTCTGTGCCAATCTTCCTCTATTTTTTGTATGTGGGATGCCTCCACAGCATGGCTGATGAGTGAAATAGGTCTGCACCTGGGATCCAAACCTGTGAACCCTGGCTACCGAAGCAGAGCACATAGAACTTTAACCACTTGGCCACGGGACCGGCCCCAGCATGTTTGTTTTTAATCACTGAATAGTATTCTGTTGTCTAGATATACCACAGTTTATTTATCCATTCACATACTGAAGGACATCTTGTTTCTTCCAAGTTTTGGCAATTGTGAATAAAGCTGCTATAAACATCCATATGCAGGTTTTTGTGTGAACATAAGTTTTCAGTTCGTTTGGGTAAATACCTAGGAGTGTGACTGCTGGATCATAGGTTAGGAATATGTTTATTTTTGTAAGAAATTGCCGAACTGTCTTCTACAGTGACTGTACCATTTTGCATTGCCACCAGCAATGAATGAGAGTTGCTTTTGCTCCATATCCTTGGCAGCATTTGGTGTTGGCAGTGTTTTTGATTTTGGCCCTTTTTGTAGATTGGAAGTGGTATCTCTGTTGTTTTAATTTGCAATTCTCTAATGACATATGATATTGAGTATCTTTTCATATGTTTATTTGCCATCTGTTTATCTTCTTTGAGGAGGCGTCTGTTCAGGTCTTTTTGCCCATTTTTAAATTGGGTTTCTCATTTTGTTATTGTTGAATTTTAAGAGTTCTTTGTATATTTTGGATAACAGTTCTTTATCAGTTATGTCATTTACAAATATTTTCTCTCAGTCTGGGGCTTGTCTTCTCATTCTGTTGACAGTGTCTTTCCCAGAGGGGAAAATTTTAATTTTAATGAAATTTAGCTTTGTCAGTTCTTTCATGGATCATAACTTTGATGTTGTATCTTAAAAGTCATCACTATACCCAAGGTCACCTAGATTTTTCCTATCTTCTACGAGTTCTGTAGTATTGTGTTTCATGTTTAGGTCTGTGATCCACATTGAGTTAATTTTTGAGAAGAGTGTAAGGTCTGTGTCTAGATTTCACTTTTTTTGCATGTGGATATCCAGTTCTTCCAGTATTGTTTGTTGAAAAGACTATCTTTGCTTCATTGTATTGCCTTTGCTCCTTTGTCAAAGATCAGTTGACTACATTTATGTGGGTCTGTTTCTTGGCTCTGTATTCTGTTCCATTGATCTATTTGTCTATTCCTTCACCAATGTCACACTGTCTTGGTTATTTTAGCTTTATATTAAGTCTTGAAGTTGGGTAGTGTTAGTCCTCCAACTTTGTTCTTCCAAGCCTTCAATATTGTGTTGGATTTTTTGCTACTCCATATAAACTTTTGAATCAGTTTGTTGATACCCACAAAATAACTTACTGGGATTTTGATTTGGATTGTGTTAAATCTATAGATCAAGTTGGTAAAAACTGACATCTTGACAGTACTGAGTCTTCATATCCGTGAACATGGAATATCTCTCTGTTTAGTTCTTTTTAAATTTTTTTCATCAGAGTTTAAAGTTTTGCTCATACAAATTTTTTGCCTATTTTGTTAGATTTGTACCAAACTATTCCATTTTTTGGGGTGCTAATGTAAATGGTATTCTGTTTTTAATTTCAAATTCACTTGTTCATTGTTTATATAGAAGAGCAATTGACTTTGGTATATTGACCTTGTATCCTGCAGTCTTGCTGTAATTATTAGTTCCATGCTTGCTTTGGCAGCACATGTAGTAATTACTTCTTAGTTCTAGGAGTTTTTTGTTGATTCTTTCAGATTTTCTACAAAGACAATCATGGCATCTGTGAATAAAAACAATTTTATTTGTTCCTTCCCAATCTATTTTATATCTTTTCTATCTTTTTCTTGTCTTACTGTATTACTAAGACTACTAGTACAGTGTTGAAAAGGAGTGGTGAGAGGGATCATCCTTGCCTTGTTCCTGATCTTAGCAGGGAAGCCTCTAGTTTCTTACCTCTAAGTATGAGGTTAGCTGTAGGTTTTCTTAGATGTTCTTTATCAAATTGAAGAAGTTTCCCCTCTATTGCTAGTTTGCTGAGAGTTTTTATCATGAATGAGTGTAGGATTTTATCAAATGCTTTTTCTGCATCTATTAACATGATCATGTGATTTTTTTCTTAGGCTTTTAATGTGATGGATTATATTAATTGATTTTTGTATGTTGAACCAGCCTCACATACATGGGATAAATCCTACTTGGACATGGTGTATAATTCTTTTTACACGTTGTTGGATTAAATTTGCTAATATTTTATTGAGGAGTTTCGCATCTACAGTCATAAGAGGTATTTGGTTTGTAGTTTTCTTTTCTTGTAATATTTTTGTCTGGTTTTGCTTTTAGGGTAATGCTGGCCTCATAGAATGAGTTAGGAATTATTCCCTCTGCTTCTCTCTTCTGGAAGAGGTTGTAAAGAATTCATATAATTTCTTCCTTAAATGGTTGGTGGAATTCACCAGTGAAACCATCTGGGCCCAGCGCTTTCTGTTTTGGAAGGTTAATAAGTGTTGATTTAATTTGTTTAATAGATACAGGTATATTGAAACTGTCTATTTCTTCTTGTCTCAATTTTAGCAGATTGTGTCTTTCAAGAAATCAGTCCATTCTTCTAGGTTGTCAAATTTGTAGGTTGATTTAATTTGTTTAATAGATACAAGTATATTGAAACTGTCTATTTCTTCTTGTCTCAATTTTAGCAGATTGTGTCTTTCAAGAAATCAGTCCATTCTTCTAGGTTATCAAATTTGTAGGTATAGAGATGGTAATAGTATTTTTTTGTTCTCCTTTTAATGTCCATGATATCTGTAGTGATAGCTCCTCTTTCACTTCTGATACTCGTAATTTGTCTTCTCTCTTTTTTTCTGAGTTAGCCTGGCTAGAGGCTTATTGATTTTATTTATCTTGTAAAAGAACAAGATTTTTTTTCTATTGATTTCCTTTTTTTCTACTTCGTAAATTTCTGCTCTAATTTTTACTAATTTCTTTGTTCTGCTGACTTTGGGTATAATCTACTCTTCTTTTTCTAGTTGCCTGAAGTTGAACTTAGATGATTAATTTTGGATCTTCCGTTTTAAAAAAATTTTTTTATTGCTATACCATTGGTTTATAACGTGATATAAATTTCAGGTTTACATCATTATATTTCAATTTTTGTGTAGATTACATCGTGTTCACCACCTAAAGAGTTAGAGTCCATCATCATACACATATGCCCAATCACCCCTGTCGCCCTCCTCCTTCCCCACTTTCCCTCTGGTAACCACCACTCCAGTCTCTGTCTCTGTGTGATTGTTTCTTGTTGTTTTTTTCTTCCATTTGTTAGTGAGATCATACAGTGTTTGACTTTCTCCCTCTGACTTATTTTGCTTAGCATAATACCCTCAAGGTCCATTCATGTTGTCACAAATAGCACAGTTTCATCATTTTTTATGGCTGAGTAGTATTCCATTGTATATATATACCACATCGTCTTTATCCATTCATCCCTTGATGGGCACCTACATTGCTTCCAAGTCTTAGCTATTATAAATAATGCTGCAGTGAACATAGGGGTGCATGTATCTTTATGCATTTCTGTTTTCAAGTTCTTTGCATAAATACCCAGCAGTGGAATAGCTGGATCGTATGGTAGTTCTATTCTTAATTTTTTGAGGAATATCCATACAGTTTTCCATAGTGGCTGCACCAGTTTGCACTCCTAACAGCACCGTATGAGAGTTCTCTTTTCTCCACATCCTCACCAATGCTTGTTATTTCCTGTCTTGTTAATTATAGCCGTTCTGACAGGAGTAAGGTGATATCTCATTGCAGTTTTGATTTGCATTTCCCTGATAATTAGTGATATTGAACATCTTTTCATGTGCCTGTTGGCCATCCGTATATCTTCTTTGGAGAAATGTCTGTTCAGATCTTTTGCATATTTTTAAATTGGATTGTTGTTTTTTTCTTGTTGAGATGTGTGAATTATTTATATATTTTAACTATTAACACCTTATCTGATATAAGGTTTGCAAATATCTTCCCCCAGTTGTTAGTTTGTCTTTTTGTTTTGTTGATGGTTTCCTTTGCTGTGCAGAAGGTTTTTAATTTGATATAGTCTCATTTGTTTATTTTTTCTATTGTTTCCCTTGCCCAGTCAGACATGGTACTT